CTTGGAGAGGTAACATGGAATAAAATTTTATTCCAGTTTCAAATCTTTATTGAAATATCATTCATATAATCCAACTCCAACCTGCTCGTTATATCTGGTGAATATTGTGAACCAGAGAAGAGTATAATAGTAATAAGTAGACTGCGGATGTTTATGCATTTATGGGAAATTTTAATTTTCAAAAAACTATGGAATTTAGTTAACATGCAAGAATATAAGAAATAAAGTAAGGTACGAATTATTATATCAATTTGCATGAAGATTCGCAGTCTAGTAATAAGTATGTATCGTACAGTAGTGTCCATTGCTAACTGACTGCTCGATTCACTTGCATTATCCTTCTCATTGAGTTAACCTAGTCTCCGATTAGTTAACCTACTCCCGTCTCTTTGATTTCGAAAGAGCATAACCAAGGCTATGGGGAAGTTTCCCAAGGGATCCGGGTATTGTAACGGCTGCTCTTTCCTTCCCGACTCCATCATCCGTGGTATGCTCTATAGATCAAGATGAGAGGAGCCGGTCAGCTGGAAAATCGCTTTAAACCTCCCCCGGCTAATACTAACTTTCCCTTATCGTATCGCGAAATTCCCGGATTCTTTTTCGTTTCGCATACCTATCGACTCAGGAGGGTTGTGCAGGAAGAGCTATCTCTCTTGCTAGGCCTTCGCGCGTACCAAACGATACTCCTCTCGCGATTTACCGGGGCCCGGGATTAATTGCTGATAAATTTCTTTTTCAATGAAATGCTCCACCCCTTGGCGCGCTCTCGTTTTTAGCTGTAATTAATTTCGATTAGGAAACGCAGCTCGTCGGATTCTCGCTTTCATGTTGTTAGCAGCGAACAATTAATGGGGGAGGGAAAAAGTTACCGGTCTTATTTTCTAATTACACACCGCGGGGGCTCAGGCTTTAAGAGGGATGAGCGTTGAATCGAAGAACCAAGTCACCTTTGCAATTAATTTGCATTGTAATTTATTAATGTTAGAAAAATGAGGTCTGAATCTTGGTATCGAGAGCCCTTCACCTTCGAGCTGGAAGTATTTTACTAGATTTTGCTTTTGTAGGATGAAATTCTCTGTACGTTCATGGGTACTCGCGATCATTTTCTTAGATATGTTTGGAGAAACATTTCTGCTTTCTTTAGAACGTAGTAAATTCTTAATTCTGATTAAACTTTCTTTTTCTAAACTCTTCTTTTTCTCTTTTACGAGGCAACGTGGTTCTAATTTTTCCATTATATGTACAGAAACTTGTGTTTTGAAGTTTATTCGTAAGATATCCTCTTTCATGTCACATAGTTTTTCTTAAAACATTGAATTTTAAGAATCTGCACAAAAATATTCAACACTTTTACTCTAGACATGCATTATTCTTTGAATATTGTTAGTAAATTAGTAATTTTCATCGAATAGAAGATAAAACGCTCTTAAAAACGAATTCTGTTTCATGAATAATCCAGTTTTACCGCACAGCAGTCGTATATAATCAACAGGAATAGGTGAGAAACCTGTTTGGGTACGCAGCGTCAAAGTAAATGTGAAAATACACATAAAAGACGGCTTAAATTATAATAGTTTATATGGTCATTAGAGGGTGAAATGCCCTTTAAAATGAGCGTTCGTACAACTCGATAGCGTAATTAGTTCGGAGATATGGCGATTTTAGTTTCAAGTCCAAGCGTTTGTTTACTTTTCGTTGTTTTTGACGCGAGGTCAATGAACTTTCACTGCGGCCCCTTCACATAAATTACGATATCTCCCAAACGGAAAGTCCGATTGACAAAAACCAAAAACCACTTTAAAGAGGAAGCTTTACCGCTTCTAACAATGCCTTAATAATTAATAAAACACTAGTAGTTTCGAAACTGTACGTGTGCAAAGTTTGACTATTTTTGATACTCGTTGTTGGACTGTTCTAAAGCAGTGAACACTGAAGATTCTCTCCTTTCATCTTTGCTATTTACTACGGGAAGCTTATCAGACCCTGAAAAATGAAATAATATTGTGTGTTACAAATTCTAAACGAAATTTAAAAAATTCATCATTTGACCAATCGCGGTAGGTTTAGTTGCAGTTCCAAAAAAATAATAAAGACACTCTTTCTCGGAAAAAGGTGCAAGGAGTGGAATAGATTCTATTAAAATGGCTAAACAGACCGTTTAAGGGGTAAATTGTTAATTACGCGAGCATCGATCGGAACGGTTGGCGGAGCGATCACCAACACCGACGATAAACCACCAAAAACATAAAATTATTGACGCTTGGGTGTCGCGGTATTGCGGCCATTATACCAGACGATGGCAGATAATGGACACACAAGTATGAAACAAAATTATCAACGCCGTTCCCAACTTTATCTCATTAATTATTATGCACTTAACGTTGCAACGCAATGGCACAGCAGCCGCAGTTGCCGAAGAACTTTTGCCTCCGCCGTTGCATGCCGTGCTACCGACGATGACTTTTAAAGTTCGGAGATTTATAGTCGGGGCTGGTAACGGGACAAGAAAGCCCCAACCCCGAACGACAGAGGGGGGGACAAGACGAAGCTCCGAAAGAGTTTGCAAGTGTCAAATCGGCGCACCACCTCACTGTTTTAACGACGAACTTCATGCAACCACGATTTTACGGGGCAACAAAACGTTGCATCCTTGTACCGTAAAACGCTAATGCCTTCCGGTTCGTACAAATAATACTCCACGGAGAGTTTAACTCGACCCGACCGACTAATCGACTGCGGCGAATTTCGTATTAACACGACGGTGAATCCTTTAAAATTTCAGTCGATTAAAATAAATGTAATTAACGATAAAGAATTTTTTATTACAAGTCACTGATTTTAAAATGAATTGTGTGAGAAGTCTACTGAAAATTGTTTCGTACGAGCTCGTTCACGATAATTCGCGAACGATTTATTTCTGTTATTGAAGATATTATGACGATGCCAAAATGGCCACGATATATGAATATTGAAACGCTCGGGAATGCAGTTTGTTCCACGGACGTGGGCCAAATTGCAGAAATATTTCGAAAAATAAATTCTAGGTCGTGCACCGATTTACACTTATTTCGCGAAACCTAAGCAGAAAATAATAGCGTGACGCAAGGGTCTTACATAAAATTTGTCGCCCCCAGGGGGGGGGGGTAGAAAATAAAAAATATCCATTTTGACAAATCAGAAGCGTAGTGCGTCTTTTCACGTACGCTTGTAAAGCTGAGGATTGAACGTTAATTAAAACAAACGTTTCAGGTGTTGATAGAGTCAATTTACAAGACCGTATTAAACGTATAAATGGACGTTGCTCGTATCTTCTTCGAGAACCTACAAGAATTATTTTTTAAAAGCCCTTTGATTTCGTGCGCTTTCCTTGAAGCATGCATGAATGTTGAAAAACGGGAAAAATTCATTTCTGGATGATACGCGGCGGTTCCGCTGGTAGTGGTAAACTCGAATGAAGCGACTGCAATGTTACGCCAGGCAGAAAATTATGAGGAACGTGCACAGACGGGGGGACAAGATAATCCGTTTGGATGAGATTGAGGGATCCTGCAAACCGTCTCCCCACATGGACGATTTCAAACGCGTGTAATCCGTACGAGGTTGCTGCCTGTCAGCGAAAGTAGTGCATAAGATTTAAAAGTGTCTGCGTTAGAGGGGGGGACCAGCGAACAAATATGTTCGCTTGGGGTAATTAAGCGAGCAGTCTTTGGCGACGCCCAAATTTAAGCACGAAGTGTCCCCGCGTCCTCGACACGAGAATGGGAACAACGTGCGTAAAATTCAATGGCAACCCTCGATGGGTAGGGTAAAATGCTTGTTACATAATCGATAGGGTGGGGTCAATTCGATTATGATCGCAGGAGTAGGCTGAATATACGGTTATTTCCATGGCAAATTCCAAAAAAAGGCAACATCTCGAATATTCAGAAAATTGTGTACAATCGTCCTTTCTTCCAGAATTCTGCTTGGAAAACATGAAATTATCGCTCGAAAAATATGCAGTTGTTTCTTTGTCTGATGACAAGTGAAAATAGGAACAGTCTATGTTTTCGAGTAGTTGTTTCTTAGTTTTAGTAGGGTAAAATGCTTGTTACATAATCGATAGGGTCAATTCGATTATGATCGCAGGAGTAGGCTGAATATACGGTTATTTCCATGGCAAATTCCGAAAAAAAGGAACATCTCGAATATTCAGAAAATTGTGAACAATCGTTCTTTCTTCCAGAATTTTGGCTGAAAAACATGAAATTATCGCTCGAAAAATGTGCAGTTGTTTCTTTGTCTGATGACAAGTGAAAATAGGAACAGTCTATGTTTTTCAAGTAGTTGTTTTCTTAGTTTTCGATAATTATTGCTACGCATATAGGAATCTTCGTAATTAATAATATTCGAAGAGTTTTGAAATCGTTATTACGAACATTGTAGGTGTCGGATAATTTTGTCCGTTTTTCTTATTTCAGGTTCGCCAGGTCGAATGAAACGCTTAACGTTTAAGTAATTTTATCGCTTCTGTAATAAGCTCCGTATGCGGGGGCACAGAGATCGTAAAACGAATATCGTACAAACCGATTTCAAGTGCACTTCGCTAAATGAAAGTGTTTGTTAATCCGACAATTTCATAAGTATTATGCTTTCCAAAGGATGCTGTAATGCGCGTAATGGCGATAATACCGTTTAATGAAAAAGCCGTGAACCGGGTGATTACACTAGCCAATGATTATATTTTCAAATTGGCATTCCGGAGCCAAACCAAAGACAATATTTCGAGCACACAATTCGAGGTACAAGAACTTTTTATCGTTAAAGAAAATTAATATATAGTAGTTTTTCTTAACTAAGACAGAGAAGAAAATATTTATTTGCAACACCAATTAATTCATTTTTACTTCGTCCAGTTCGTCCAAGTTTTACTTTCTTTTCATATAATTGAAAAGCCTAAAATTGCAATTATTTCTACGTATTTTGCAGATATTTCATGGAGTGTTTGCTGTCTGTTTCAGAATGAAGAACAACAACAATGTAGAGCAGCCGGACCCCGACAATATAAAAATGTTCGTTGGCCAGGTGCCACACGACATGGATGAAAATGAGCTGAGAAAGCTGTTCGAAGAGTTCGGTCGAGTGCATCAGATAAACATCCTGCGGGATAAGATCACCGGGAATCACAGAGGTAAGTGTTCGATCAGCAATGGCCGCACTCTATAAATCCATGATTCGGCTATTCTTCAAAGGATAATAACAATAGTAACTGAGGTGGGCCAGCAAATATTTTTGGCCACCTTCTTGTCCAGTTGGGTGCTAAACAAAATCCCAAATAAGTTTAAAATAATACAAAATTAAAGTAAACAACAGTTAGAAGTACCTTTAGAAAGAATTTTTGGTGAACTTTCTTTTTTTCAAGATTAATGTTTATCACTATCTAAATGTTCTGTAAATGAAACTAAAGGAAACCCCAAATAAATTTAAAATAATACAAAATTGAAGTAAATAACACCTAAGTACCTAAAAGTACCTTTAGGAAGAATTTTTGGTGAACTTTCTTTTTTTCAAGATTAATATTTATCACTATCTAAATGTTCTGTAAATAAAACTAAAGGAAACCCCAAATAAGTTTAAAATAATACAAAATTGAAGTAAATAACACGTAAGTACCTAAAAGTACCTTTAGGAAGAATTTTTGGTGAACTTCCTTTTTTTCAAAATTAATATTTATCACTATCTAAATGTTCTGTGAATAGAACAGTGGTACACAAGGAGTTTATAGGTTATTGCATAAAAGTTTCGACCATCTTCTCTTCATTAATGGTATACGAATAATTACTAATACAATGAAGGCGTTCGTGAAATGGATTTCTTCATTCATTGTGAAGGAATATAGCTGTTCGTGGAACACTTGGAGGAGGACGCGTTAATTAAATTATTTGATCTTTTTCGCGTTTGATAATCCTTGGTATCGCAATATTCGATAACGAACCGATTTTTCATTAGTCTCCCGGCGTAACGAGAAACACTTTAATCTTGCGGCAATTCTATCAACTACACCGCTCCCGATAATCGAGCAAAATTGAATTCTCCCGCGACGTTTATTTTTAATCGCAACTTTATTCACGAAAAAATTAATTCGGTACTTTCGAGTCGTCGATATTCGATGATCTTGCGTGGAAGAAAAATTTCATAGATTTTCCTTTCGACACGTAAATCAAATTCCACTTTTACTGTTTTGTATATTAAAAATATCATCGAAATGTCACGAAAAATTACTTCTAACACACGTGATTGTCAACGAACAGTGGATTGGTTAAGGCGAGACATGAAAATTTTCGCGCTCGTAAGTGAAAGAAGATGGCGACGAGTCCTCTGCATGCGATCGGCGAAGTTGACAGCAAAATGGCGCGCGTCGCAACGAGCAGCGAGAATGGACGTGGAGGAAGGAAGAAAGAGAGGGAATGGACACCATTTACGTTGGCAGAAAGGACGATAAAACGTAGCGACACGATCGTAGACCGAGATTAAACCATGCTCTGTTCGGCAGCGCCGCGTGGACATAATTCGAGAATAAAATAATTCTCGCGCTCGAGGAGAAGATTGAACGATTTCAGGAAATTTCCGATGATGGATCGCGACAAGGTTGTCGTGGGTGTCAAACAAGGATATTTCATTTGCGCCTTCTGCTATATACGCGTCATATACTCTTTTTTGGGGGCCACGAAAGGAATTAGTCCGTAAGAAAACTGACGGAAAATGAAATATTCGATTTGAACATTCTCGATGACAAAAATGACGAACGCGTCGACTGATCGAGGAAACTAGGGAAGGAACGCGTTAAATTAACAAACTGTCTATGCAGTCGATGGGGAAGGTAATTGAAAAATCGTTGAACAGCGTGGAAATAGAAATAGTAACGCGAGAGTGCAAGAATAATCCACGCGGCCCGGTTATTCTTACAGGTTGTCACACAGTAACCCGGTTAACTTGGACGAAGTTAATTCCAAACGGTAGTTTAAAAGTGGTGATTTCGAACAACGGTTGTTTCATTACCCGCGAATGAAAGTAATTTATCGAAGGAAATAGCTTTAATTTGGTATCCAGATATGTTCTTTGGAAAACAAAGAGATTAATGTGTCTTGATGCGTAAATCTGGATTAGATAGAAACATTTGTTGGTTACGTAACGTGGATGTAATTAACCAATCTATAAGTTATCGATGGACGGTTGTTAGCAGCAGGTTCTAGCTCAGACAAAAGACTATAGGGAACAGAGCTAATACGGAGTAAGGAGTGGTCAGTCTGAGGGAATAGGGAGAAAATAAGGACATATTCGTACAAGTGGCACACGCGACGATCGATGCCCAGACACTGGTGTTCGCTTGTCGAACCTCCACGGTCCTTCCTCGAGCTATTGATCGAAGAGAGAACTACCCGTGTCCCTTGGCCTTTTATGCCGCCACGTTGAACGTATCCACGCACCTGTGCGGCCATATACGACAAACGCTCGATATATGACCGAACTGGTCCACCGCCTAAATGCCCGGTGTTCATCCCCACCACTGACGCAACCGAGAAAGTCCTCCTTTCACTTTCACTCGCCCTTTTCTACGGTCCACGCTCGACTCGGGCTGCTTTCATAATCGAAATCGATCCATCTACCCCATAAATCTGTCTTTTTAAAATTAATTTTTTCCTATTATTCAATAATTTTTTTTTATAAAACTATTTCGTGAGAATTTTATTCTCAATTTTGAGTGACCAACTTTTAAAAAGAATCTTTGGACAATAATCAAAAACATAAAGATGGAGCTAACTGTACTTTGTCTTATCACAGTTCGTTCGTAAATTTGGGTTATTTAAAATAGTATTATTTTAGTTTGCTAAAATTTTGTCAGCCTTAAAGTAAAATTAAATATTGTTAAAATATTGTCTATGATCAGATCTCACGTTTCATGTATTTTTAATGGAACAATAACTGAAACAATTGCCCAAAATTTATAAACGAAGAATATACATACGAACAACCTGCATCTTTGAAGGCGAGAAATCAAATATTTATCTTTGTGAATTCTGACTCGTTTAATTTCGTAAATTTAAATGTTTGTTTATAAAATAGTTTCGAACCCGAACCGGTTAAATACCGACGCCTATAATAATTTACTAACGGCAACAAGAAAATATTAACGAGCGAATGAACCATTCTGCCCCCGCCGCGCGGAGTATAGTTTTAATTATTTCTCGCCGCGCTAGACCATATATACAGAGATACAGAGCGTTATTCTGAAAACGCAACGCAACTGCTGGGTCGCTCGTAAATCAATTATTGGTTACTATTTGGGGCACAGAAAATTGCTTACAATCCGGTCCGCATTAACCGAACGCCTCATTAATTATTCACGTTCAACTTCCATATGCGCGCCGGAATGAAAATTGAATTTCGTACCCGCGGATTCTACAACTCAACTTTTCGTTTCGTTTCTCTCGCCTGTCATTTTCTTATTGGCTCGACGAATATTCCTTGTTCGAGGCTAAACATTTCATTTCAATTTCTCACCATGATCGAACGTTTTTCTAATTTCATACCGGGGGCCATTTTGCATCTATTTTTGCAGTTTCAATTATATTCGTTGCTAATGGGTCGAAATTTTCATTCTGAAAAACTTCTTGTCCCACCCTCCTAACTGACAATATCTTCTAAGTTCAACTGATTTGAAACCACCTTCTTCGATAAGCCATATACCTTTGGAGGATACTATGTGTACATTTAAGCATGCACTAGCTAAAGTAAGGTGAAATCACCAGGATACATAGATCAGTGTGTTCTCTTAGTAGGTTGACATCTTGTATTTTTGCAGTTTCAAATATATTCGTTGCTAATGGGTCGAAATTTTCATTCTGAAAAACTTCTTGTCCCACCCTCATAATTGGCAATATCTTCTAAGTTCAACTGATTTGAAACCACCTTCTTCGATAAGCCATATACCTTTGGAGGATACTATGTGTACATTTAAGCATGCACTAGCTAAAGTAAGGTGAAATCACCAGGATACATAGATCAGTGTGTTCTCTCAGTAGGTTGACATCTTGTATTTTTGCAGTTTCAAATATATTCGTTGCTAATGGGTCGAAATTTTCATTCTGAAAAACCTCTTGTCCCACCCTCATAATTGGCAATATCTTCTAAGTTCAACTGATTTGAAACCACCTTCTTCGACAAGCCATATATCTTTGGGAACTACTATGTGTACATTTAGGCATGTACTATCTAAACTAACATGAAATCATCAGAATATCATGAGTGTGTTCTCTCAGTAGGTTGACATCTTGTTCATATTTGCCTGAAGACCCCAGAAATCGCGGAAGAAGTCTGGAGAACGTCTTTGTCACCTAACTTTCATTAGTCCACAATACTTGTATCACCCAAACCTGATGACTTCGCCTCGAACAAGAGATTTAAATCTATCTTGCAGGCCTCAGTACGATGAACTCTGGGTTCAACGGTCTCTGTATGTAAGATAGTTCGTTAGCAGGTGCGACCAAACACCCATTACTGTGGCTAGGGCCTTCGATTCAGACCCGCGAACAGTGGGGGGATTAGCCCCCGCAGAGTCTGGCGGCACCCGGGTCGTTCGAACCTATTCTGTATTCGTTCGGTGGAATTCCCACAGGTCATGGACAGAGGATCATGTTCTTAGTATCCGGGCCGTAAGGATCATCCCGGATACGCAGAGCAGCAGCTCCAAGCAATGAGCTTAAATCCGATCGCCACGTTCCCGTGGGAGTTAGATCAAGTCAACGCTCGTCGACCAATCGCGGCTACGGCTCTCCGAGATCCATACAATGCTCGATCGACAAACATTCCTATGCTCCTTTGGGATACAGTACTCTAGCCACGCTGTTAAACAGGAAGATAACAAGGAATAAGTGTCCTGGAAAGAAAATAAAAACAGAGCGAACTGGGCTCAATTTGATAAGACTTTTTGATTTTTAATAAATTTGTTTGACGCTCTAAGGAAAAGTTGTTTAATACTTTTTTGTAGCTACCCGTAGGCTCTGCTTCGGAAAAAAATTTCATTGGAATATATTCACTATTTTAGGAGTTACGAGCGTTTGAAAATTGGACCATTTTTATGGGGGGTTTTCTCATTTTCCGGGGTCAAGGGGCAACTTTTCGAATATTTTT